CCCCCCCCTGTTTTTTTTATTTTAATTCTGGATCTACAGTATCCTTTTGTTCCCATTTATAAACTCACAGGAGATAGCGGATAAATGATCTGTAAGATGTGCATGTTCTGCAGTGCAGCAGTTTAGATGAGGAGCATAAGCAAAGAGATGATGTTCTCCCCACAGAGACAGCTCCTCTGATGGGGGGCGACGTGAGGCCTTTCTCTTATTATCTTTTGTTTTCTTTTGAAGGAAGATTAAAGAATCTCTTATGTCATTTGATATTTCAGTGGGATAGCAGTACAATTGAGCAGCAGTGTGTGGGGTATGTGTGGTGGGTGTTTGGAATTCATTCAAAGACAGCTTATCAAAGTCCATGAGGGACCGAGCCGGCAGACTGCAACCGGAGGTTTGTTGGTAATATTGAGTCATTTGCTCAAGCAGACACTCGCATATATATTTTTTTTTTCTTCCACATCGGGGCCTTCATTGCAATTCGTCATAGGTTGATCTTGTCAGCATGTGGACTTTGTCATGTTTAAGGTGATGTTCATGACGGAAATCTATTCTCTTCCAGGTGTACACCAGATATGGGAAATGCTACACTTTTAATGGCAACAGGACGACATCCAGGAAAAGCAAGCAGGGTGGAATGGGAAATGGGTTGGAGATCATGTTGGATATCCAGCAGGATGAGTATCTGCCCATCTGGAGAGAAACAAGTAAGCCACAAAACTATTTGTCCGGTGTAATCCCATCATATGCTACGGCATGAGATAGCTCTGCTGGGCTTTAAAATAACCTGCATTCAATTTCCCGGGTCACGCACCGTAAATAATGCATTTTTTGATTGCATTTCTGCAACCTGGAAAATGTGATTTGTAAGAGGAAGTTCCTGAACACAATACACTACATCAGATGTGTGTTTGCATAGTTGTCACATGATAGTAATCCCTACCGTCCTGCATTTTCAAATATGGTTTGCTGTTAGTGTCAAATGGAGTCCAAGCTGTCAGATGAGGCCGCCGTCTGAATTCTCCGTGCTCCTGTTTGTTTCATCCTAAAGACGAGACGTCCCTGGAGGCCGGCATCCGGGTCCAGATCCACAGTCAGGACGAGCCCCCCTACATCCACCAGCTGGGCTTTGGCGTCTCTCCGGGCTTCCAGACCTTTGTTTCATGTCAGGAGCAGAGGGTAGGTTGTCTTCATCACAGCCCCCTGCTTCCCTCTCCCCACAAAATGACTCCTTATGCAACCATTGGCCCCTGGTCATTCAGTTTGGGGTCTAATAAATCTGTGTGTGCTTAGCTGACCTACCTGCCCCAACCCTGGGGGAACTGCCGCTCCACCAGCAAAGAGAAGTTCCCGGGATACGACACGTACAGCATCAGCGCCTGCCGCCTGCTTTGCGAGACCAACGAGGTGCTGCGCGTGTGCGGCTGCAGGATGGTGCACATGCCCGGTAAGACCCCCAACCTCACATCTATACAGAGCCCAGCAGCTAGCATGTGGAGAAAATCATTATATGTGCACATAAATCACTAATGCACACATTCATGCTGTCATATTAATGTGAAGTTATCAGTGGTAGAAGAAGTATTAAGATAATTTACTTAAGTCAAAGTACTGTAGTAATACTGTGTTACAAGTAAAACGCCTGCACTGGAAATGTTACTTAAGTAACAATTATTAGCACAATCAACTAATTGTAATTAAAGCAAATAACACGAAAGTATCCAATGCAGAATATCAAAAATAATTTAAAAAAACTCAAAATAATTTAAAATAAACTATTAAATAATTTGGTTTTGTTTATGGATGGAAATTAATTATCTTGATTAATCAACTAATAATACTTAAATATTTTTATAAACCCTTGTGTTGTTTATGCAATTATTTTGTATTCTTAAAATAACTTAGAAATAATATTGTAAAATAAACATACCAAAGTAAGAATTAGAATAGTTAGCTTTTGAATTGTTGTATACTCAAGTAAAGTATAAGTACCTCGAAGTTACACTTAAGTACAATACTGCATTTAATTTACTTAGCGACATAAGTTGGTATACAACAGTGACTGAGAATTAAAAAGAAACTGATAACTGAACAAAGAACAAAATGTTTGTAACTGAAAAACACACTAATATTCTTCATGTTCTGTGGTATTATATGTTTCAAATTCAATGTCATCACACGGCATATACAGTAAGAAGTGACTCATTGGGAAATTATAAAACCCTGAAAGGAATGAGTGTTTTCAAGTATTACCCTCTGTTTTTAGAATGGTTTGGTCTAGCGTGATTAGATAACAGCCAGCCCAGTTTAGCACACTTCACTAATTCCAGCACAGACATCATTTGGGCTGCCACATGCCTGACCTCGGTGCTAGATATCTGGAGTGGAATGCTCTTCAGCAGCCGCTCTCTGGACAGTAACTCTTCAGACTACAGGATACTCTCCAAGACTTTTGCATCTATTTGTTCATACATCCCAGCTGTTAGGGGAGTGTTCTCCTGTGGCACTCATTCATTAGTTTGATTGATTATTTTCTATCATTCCTGGTTGGTTCTCGTCTTAAGTTCCCGCTGGTGCAAACAGCTTTGAGAACCCCTGCCTTTGAATGAGATTAATTTAGCATTGATTTACACAATGAGAGATTGCCTCTCCTGATTACGAAGATGTGGCACAGAAGTAATGTTTCATGATTCACACGGTGTGTTTTCCTATTTTGGCTGTCATTACGAGGACACACTTAGATAAAGAACACATTTTCTACGCGCCCTCCTCTGTCCTCTTCTATGTAGAATTATAAAAAGTAACCCAAGATATAAGATTGCATACATTGACAATCTCCTTTAAATCCAGATTGAATATGCCCAGAAAATGACTCAATGCAACACAGGACCAAACTTAAAAAATCAATCCAAACATAACGTCTCAGAGATACATCGGCAGTGATGCAATGAGCTGAGCAGAATGATGATCAAACAGACTCAGATTCAGCACAGCGTTGTTTGGGTCAGGTAAGATGATGGTCACTCTACTTCCGCCATTTACACAGTTTCTGTGTTCAGCTCGGGGATACGTTGCAGAGGTGATTTGAACACAGAATAAGACGTTTGGACTTACTCAGCATGTGCGTCATCCTGGCCTTGCTGCATGAAGTCAAAGAGCTGAGTCACTGAAGGCAGAATGTTGTCGGCTGATGTGTTATGATGCTGTAAGTGAATGTTTGAGGTGGTCTCATTGGAAGTTAAGGCAGGAAACTCGCTAATGTACGCAGGAGTCTGTTACATTCCCCCCGTGCAAATGACATTTGCTAGGCTGTGGAATATAAACGCTGTGGTTACACATTTACATATCAGTCAGACATTTCAAACGTCCACTGTCAGGCTTTAATGGCCGCACTAAAGTGATAGTTTGAGCCACTAATCATTAGATCTGGACAGGCTGTGAAGCTGACACGTTGCTAATCAGTTTGCGTGCTCTGCAGGTGACAGTACCGACCGCGCTACAAGATCGTGATTGTGTTTTAATAAGCTATGAGCTCAGGATTTGGGGGAAACCAGCTAAGATGGCTCCTATATCAAACTGTTACTGCACTATTTATTGTCCTTCACACCTGCAAACCCATCATGCCCATGGTTTAAGATCATAACCTTTTGAAAAGCCTACCATCTCACCAATCAATCGCAAGTCAGAAAAAGGACTATTGAGTGGGAACGTTTTGAATGAATAGATATAGAGGTCTGTTCACAGAGCAGCAGAACTACTTTGCTCCGTGATGATGTATGACATCAGATATGATATTTATTATATCAGATAAAATAAATGTGGGAGCTTTTCTTGGCCATTTGCCCAGTTTGGCTTCAGAACAGGCCTCTGTTAGGTTGCTGGAAGCTCCCATTATTTCCCTGCACTTATCAATAGTGAATCAAATGTATTGTTGCACATTAAGTGCTGAGATTTCTTTATAAAGTAAGCCAAAGGAGCACGAGGCCAGCTCGTGATTGAAAATCTTTTTACTACCCCATGTGATAACACAGTAGCTACTGTATCATTGATACGCACCGCGCTGTGTTAAACACAATTTAATCTTCCAATTTCTTTATTATCCAGCAGTGCGAAGTACAGTGTGATGCTACAGTTTAGTGTTTGATCAAATTTGTATTCACTTTTCTTGAGGGATAACAACACAAATGTTTGTTATCCATTTCTTTCTCATACACACTTACATAATCCAGCAGCTGTTTGCACTCTACTTAACATGCCAGCAAATTGTTATCAGCATGTGTTTACATAATCCCACATTTGTTTACAGCCTGCTGCTTCTGGTTTTTCCAGTCTTTTGTACGAGTTTAATTGTGTTGTCGGGGGTTTGTGGTTGAGACACTGAATTAAATAGCAGTTTGTGTTGTATTCAGGTCGTTCTTGCTGTGGCCGATAGATTGTTTTTCTGGTGGCATATGTATGCAGCTTTGTTTGTTAGCTGGATATCATAAAAAACACTTCATACATTCAAAAAAAAGGTTTTTGAGGTGGCTATTTTTAAAGCATTTTCTATTTTTGCTCATTACTTCTGTACTGCGAGGCATAGAAGCAAAACTGTGTTTTCCTGGATTTTGGGGTTTAAGATGAATATTTCAGCATTTCGTCCTATATCTATATTTGGGTGACCACCAAAAAAAAGGCTTTTAAGTTGTTCTTGTTCTAAGTGTGTGGACAGCATGCAGAGATAGCACTCATCTTATGCCTCCACTCTCAAAATGTCTAGAAAATATAATTCACAAGATGATTTAAAGTTGTTTATTTTCTTCAATCAATCATCTTTAATGACGGTTTAGTTGGTGTCACATCATTGCAGGCTATAGCTATGACAGAAACAATCAAACTGTGTTCTGTTGATCCCTCCTTAGATCATCAGACATTATTTCACTGTTTAATTAACATTTTGTTATTGATTGGAACAGAGACTTCCACAAGACATTAACCACGTGAACATTTTACCAACAGACAAACACACCTCTGCCAATTAATTGTGCTGCCGATGAATACCTGCCATTAATGGCCTCGAAAGTGTGCTTGTCTGCGCGGTAATGACTCATTGATTGATTTTTAAAGACTTTGTAAAAATGCGTTATGTGTGAAGCCAGCATGCTCCATTTCTCTATTGCAATAAAGGACGGACGTCCAATAGTCACCCTGCCTGGCCTCATTTGAAGATGACTAATAAGCTGCAGAGCAATGTTCACATTTGAGGCTCCTCATGGCTGCGGACGCGGGTCACTGATCATTTTGTTTCTGATTGATCAGACTCATTTTCTGTTCTCCTTTCCAGGAACTGCTGATATCTGCCCTCCCAGTAAAATCAACTGTGTTGACAAAGCACTCGGTAAGAAACAATCTTCCTTCATTTCTTTTCTCATTACAATAGATTCCCCCAAAGGGAAATGGAAACACACTCAGTAAATATGATAAGGACTTTTTTTTTTCCTGTAATACAAATACCTAGAGGTAGACTTTATATTTCGAAATTACTTTTCCCCATTGTGATTTAGTCACTTTAGAGCTTGATGGCCGTGTTGCCTCCATTGTTGGACTGTTAATATTAAACCCACTCTCCATTCCTGTATATCTGCACCCCCCCCCCCCCCC